GTTAGGTCCTCCCTTAGGCACTTGCATCTGTGCCTTGATTGTCAGAGCCACTGAGCTCCAGCAGTCTTACTGGGTCTGCTGATGCTTTTACAGCCTATGAAAATGATGTCAAGGGGAACAGCCTAGCCTGAAGCAACACAAAAACCCTTGGAGCTACAGAGTATGCTCTTTGATTATTTGGAATCGTCAGGTGATAGAAGGAGCATACATAATTGATCCCAGAGCTGTCATAGATACACGTGTTCATTTCTTCTGGTGCAGATCAGGATTGGTCATGTTTATCGTTGTGACTATGGTGAATCAGGGATGGGGCGCACCTTGCTATGTTTCTGAAGTTGAACAGCCTTCTTAAGGTCTAGCTGTGCCTCCAGGCATGAACAACATTTAAGTGAGGGTTAGCAGTTCTCTGCCACCCAGCTGTTTTAGCTTGCAGTTTCCTGGAGTGCTGGTTGCAGATTGCTGGTAGTATCCAGCTGTTTGCATGCTGGAGGTAGTCTAATGTGCTGTGGGTAATTTTTCCTTCTCCTTTTTTCTTCTGTGCTACATTTACTGCTAATCAAGTAAGACAGGCTTTGAATACAAAATATGCTCCAAGAGCTCGTTTCAAGTGCTTGAGGATATTAGTGGAAATGATGGTACCTGTCTGGGGTGTGGTCCAAGCAGTATTAGCCCAGCTGTGCTCATGAAAGTATGGAGAGAAGTTGAAGGAGAACATGTACGTGTTCCTAGAACTCTCTTAGCAGTAGGGCTGCTATCCTGAAGTGATCTCTAGAATAGACTTTTACATCTGGGCTGTAACATGAGTTTAACGTAGCAGAGCACGCTGACCAAGAAAATAGATGCTCTTAGAATAGTTCAAGGTTTGCCAGGTAAGGAAAGTCTCTAGTGCATCATGTTTCTCTGTTGGTCCAGGGTCCCCTGACAAAGGAGCAGCCTGATGATTGAAGAATCAGGATAGTGGCAGCAAATAGGGAAGATGATTTAGCCTCTTTAGTGATTGGCAAATGCAAAGAAAAAGTAGAGAAAACAATTATTCTGTGTCTGTTCATAGTACCTGGCAACCTGTTAGTAAGAAAACTAACACAGCCAGTGGCCCAGCTGGGAGAGTTTTGCCACAAGGGTATTGTGGCTGGGTTTCCTGCTGGGCTATCAGTTCCCCAGAAGGTGCTGCTGTGGCAATCAGATCAGTCCATGCTTCTATAATGACCATTGCTGCTGTCATCTGTGTGACCCATGGTGATGGTTTCTGAGAACCCATCCCATCTGTCTCCCTCCATCCAAGCTCTGCCTGGAGTTCGTCTCAGTGCGCGATGAAGGATGGGGGAAAGAGGTCAGTCCTTTTCCTGTACAGGCAGGCTGTGATTTTAGGGGATCTCTCCAGACTGGCTGCTCTTCACCTGTACTGCTACTTTTCCTCATCTTCGCCAGGCCAAGTGGAGTCCTGGACTGCTCTGCCTCTCTGCCAAGATTTCTCAGAGGAGAGAGCTCACGTTTTACATAGAAGGCACTTGCTGCTACATGAAGCTGTCCTGGAAATTAAACAGCAGCCAAGCAACCCTGCAGCAAGAATATCCTAAGATGGCAGTGTCTATGGATTGGTTGGTGGTGTCACAGTAACAGGCTCAGGAACAAAATCCCATAACTGCGGACAGCCAGCAGGTTATATAGAGTCCAATGTCTGGGTGAAGGTAGCTGAAATCGCTCAGTTTGATTTCAAAGGATAGGGGTTAATACGATATTTGGGGGAGAGGGGGGATATTTTAGCAAAAGAAGTCAATAAACTTCAATGTATCTTTTTTTAAAACATTTGAGAACAGTAGCCCTTTCTAAAAGCTGGAGTTACTGCAGAGCACTGCAGCCTCCATGTTTAGTGGTATTTCCTAGTCTGTTATCCTTAGACCCTCCTGTGTACCTTCACCTGCAGTAATCTGCACAATGTATGAAGGTGACACCACATATGAAATCATTTGTTGCCTAGAAGCCTCTGTTCTGTCTCCTGCCGTATACTCACAAGCATACAGATACGTGTACGGGAAGTAACATGACCATGCTGTTAAAGAAAGCTTTCCTTCCCTTCCTCTGCCTTGTATGCCTTTGCTGCTGGTGTCTGCAGATGGCTTCCAGTGGAGATGTTCATGTACCTCTATACGTTTGTAACCACCTACAGGCCAGATTCTGTCATGCAGCCATTCCGAGGGGATGGGCAAGGCCAAATGCTTCTTAGCAGTGACAGGCGACATGACGAGAGGCAACAGCCGCAGATTGCAGCTTGGGGGTTCAGGTTGGATGTGAGGAAACACTTTTTCCCTTGGAGGGGGAGTAGCCCTCAGATAGGTCACCAGGGAGGTGGGGGATCTCCATCCTGGGGGGTTTCAGGGCTCAGCTGGGCCAAGCCACAGCCACCCTGACCAGTGCTGCTGATTTCTTCTGTGAGTTGGAGTTGGAGTAGGAACCCCTTGAGGTCCTTCCAACCAACGTTCCTATGACTGTATTATTTAAACACTCTTATTTTCCATTCCTTCAAACAAAGATAGGTTTGCATTAAAACGCACTAAAATTTGCCTTTTTCTCCCCCATCCCCATTAAATTTTGAATGGAAGAGAGCCAAACCACTGAAAATACAAATAAAGATTAATTCAAAAGTGTGGGACATAACAGAAAACAGAACATGGAACATCTCTTACTGTAACTCTGCATTGTTCCTTTGACAGCTTGATAAATAGGAACGTTCCAAGCCAAAGAGTAATGATGCTTTAACTGTGGTAGAGATTTCTTATATCAGAGGAAGACTTGAATACCACAAATAACAGATAAGTAAATGGAGATGTCCCTGACCCTAGCCTTTCAGCAATCTTACAGTTTTGGTCATTATTAGATCTCAAAATATCTGATAATGAAGAAATCACACATTCAGAGATTTTAAGGCCAGAATCCTCACCAAACTTGAGTCATGATGACTTTCAAAGGCTGATTTTTCCCTTCATTCCCAATTTCATGATAGTTCATCAAAATGCTCTTTCCTATAGCTTCCTCCTAGACTAAGATAACTGAAACAAAAACTACTTGTTTTGTTAAGATGGAGTACAAATATGGAAAAAATTATTCATATTTCCTTTGTAGTATTTCTTACTCATTGAGTAAGAGAAGAAAAATTACCTGCAGCTGACAAATGAAGAAAAATGTTAATTAAATTCAATAACTGAAAGTAACTGCAAACCCTGTCATAAGACTTTAGTAGGAAATTATATCTTTGCTTAGTTGTCAATGTCCTCCTTTTATCAGTTAAACTTGCGCTGATGGGAACCTGGCTGGTGAAGATGTACTGGGGGAGGAGGACAGGTTGCGGGTCACATTTTTACAAATCTTTACAAAGCTCCTTTTTCTCTCTTTTGTCTCCATGTGGATCTCAGATGATTCTAGCCCTCCGAATTCATGGACACGTCCCTTGGGGTGAACCCAGCAGGCTCCAGACACTGGGCAGTTTAGACTCTCTACAGTGATATCTCATTTTCTAGATGTGAGCAGTGAGACAAAAATACTGACTTTCCCACACAAGACATGTAACCAGTGGTAATATTTCAGAGGCCACTCTTTGTATCCAAAAGGATGGCAGCAGAAGAGACTTGTCTGGTTGATTTCCTGAGCCTTTGCCTGGATGGACATAATTCTTGATTAACTGGCAGAGACATCAATTACAAACCATATCTCCTTGTTCTCAGACAGGGGTGATTTCTGTGTCTGATCTCCTATACGTCGCAAGCTACAATTAATGCCCAAAGACTTCAGTTCAATTAAAGCATTTCAGCTCTCAGGCGACTACATTATTGTCTTCCTTGTCACAAGGAAAGATAGGGCCATAAATGCTCAAAGCCTTTTAATTCACAATTGTATTAACTTCCACCCACTGAATATCACTTTGCTTATTTCATCAAGGCTGACCACTGGCATCCTGCTCTGCATCTAGTGCAGTCACTGCTTTTACATATTATATTCAGTTACATTAGATGAACTTTGCTGATCTCTTAACATTTAACTACCTTTAGACCTCTCTCTAGCAGCAATCCTTTCTTGTTAGTTACTGTTCCACCAAAGGCTTGCATCAGCTGTATATTTTACCAGGAAAGATTTTACATGACTGACCAAACAACGGAATCATAGATGGCGGCAAGGGGGCTTGGTAGAAACAACCCTACCTTGCCAACAGAAACCTTTTGAAACCTATGGCTTAGCTGGATGTGATTCGCCTAATATTTGCTCCATTTATTATTCAATGGAATGAAATTTTTGCATCACAAATGTCACATGGTCCTAAATCAAATGCATTTGAGAAAGCCAACTATGCTGTACCCTGTAGACTGCTGTTAGTTATCTTTGCAGCCCACTCTTGCTTCTTTGAGCTGCCAGGTGTATGTCACACAGCTCTTCCAAGAAATCAGCAAGAGGACATGATGTGCAGTGTCAGTGCCATTGCCTTGATGCCAACAGCACCAGGGCAGACCCAGCACAACCTTCTGACATTAGGGAGCGTCTGCAGTGCAAGTGCACTTGGTCAGAGCCACGATCACTCTCAGGCCCCTCTGAAAATGCTGTTTGATGCTGAACAGCTGAGGAGGTCTGCAAGTCTACAACAGCACCTATAGGGTGAGGCGTGTCATGAAGAATTTTGCAGGACGCCTTGCAGAGGATGGGTTTGAAGCTGTGACACATCCTCTCTTCCCAAGGCTGTCTATCTGACACTGTGGGCAAGGAACCAACTTGCCTGTTTTCTACCCCTTCCTGGCATCTTACCCTGACTGCAGATTGCTGGGATGGGGGTAAAAGTGCTGTGAAATGAATAAAGGATCAGACCTTTTAGAAAAAAAGTGTCATATGAAGCCATAGGACTCTGATGAGAGCCCATCAGAGCCTGCCTTCAAAAAGGCATGCTTAAAGAGCTCTCA